TTCTCCTTGCATTTTTGTCAATTCAGGAATTTTAGTTCATGTATTTTTTTTAATATTTTATTTATTATTTTTATTTTATGTGTATGAGTGTATTGCCTGCATGTGTGTAAGTGCACCCATGTCGTGCAGTGCCCACGGAGGTCACAGGATCCCCCGGAACTGGAGCTATGGACAATTGTCAGCTGCCATGTGGGTGCTAGGACTCAAACCCAGGTCCTCTGCAAAAGCAGTCAGTGCTCAACCACTAAACTACCTCTCCAGCCCCGGTTTATGGTTTTTTATGTGTGTGTCTTTTTGAAACAGGGTCTCCCTATAGCCCCAGCTGTCCTGGAACTCACTATGTAGACCAGGCTGGCCTGGAACTCACAAAGATCCGCCTGCCTCTACCTCCCAAGTGCTGGGATTAAAGGTGTGCGCCACCACACCCAGCGGTTTATGTATTTTTAAGTTCTATTAGTAGCATGCACATTTCAAACTGTTACATCCTCTGACTGATACATTTAGCCCCAAAATGACCCTCTTTCATTAGTATAAAATACTGACACTGTACCTTTTTTTAAAAAAAATGTTTTATTTATTACTTGTGTATGCGTGTATTGCCTGCATATTCGGTAAGTGCACCCGTGTCGTGCAATGCCTGTGGAGGTCAGAAGAGGACATCGGATCCCCTTGAACTGGAGTTATGGACGGTTGTTAGCTGCCATGTGGGTGCTGGGATTCGAACCCGGGTCTTCTGCAAGAACAACCAGTGTTCTTAACCGCTGAGCCATCTCTCCAGCCCTGTATCTTTTTCTTAAAGAATGTTAGCAAGTGACATAGTGTCTGGTGATATGATTTCTCTTTGCTACCTTATGAATCACATTTATAAGAATCTTACCGTATCATCAAGACCATCTATGTGCAAAACCACTGTTTTGGCACGTTTGTTCGTAGTTCCCAGAAAAAACTGAGCTTTCCTTCGACGTGAATTCATTTCATTAAAACTATCACCATCGGCCATACTGGAGGACTGAAGAATGTCATAGATTTCAGATGCCAGAAGTTTTGTTTCTCCTGGAGTTGTAGTCCTTGAAAAGACATGCATAAATGTATAGTCACTTCTGATTCTATAATTTATTTCTCAGTTTTGATGAGTTTTGTTTCTTTCATTCTGATGCCTTATTCAATTCAAAAGCAGTATCAATGAATCTTAGACTCATCAATAAGGGGGACCAGGGACGTAGTTCAGTTGTCAGAGTGCTGGGCTAGCATGTATCAAGTCCTGGGTTTTATTTCCGACACCATATAAACAGGGTGTGGTGGCACTGGCCTGTAATCACAGCACTCAGGAAGTAGAAGCAGGATCAGAAGTTCAAAGTCATTTTTGGTTATATAGCAAGTTTGAGATCAACCTAGGATGCATGAGCCACTGTTCAAGAAGGATGAGGACAAGGGATTGTGGGGAGGTGGGAAGGCGGGGAAGAGAGAGGATCAACAATAATGTAGGAAAAGCATCTCGTCTGTAATGACCCCCACCCCCCAACTAAAACAGGATTTCATGCAGCCCAGGCTCACCTCATACTCTCTATGTAATAGAGGCTAGCCTTGAGCTCCTTGATCCTTCTACCTACACCTCTCAAGTACTATAATTACAGACATGAACCACTATGTCTGGCTAGCTTAAAACAATCTTCTACTTTCATTTAAAACGACTGATTCATTGAGATTAAAAATCTGTCCTAGAGTGATACCAAAGTACATTCAACCAAAATCATTGAATAGGAAACAACTAACAAGATCAGGTTAGGTAACTTGATCATTATCACCATAACCTTTGCTCAAACCTTCTCTCTTCTATCAATATAAGTAGCTTAAGTTGTTTTTAAGTTGATTTTGAATTGCAGAGGTAAGAGAGCTGCAATGCAAACACTTTCCAATGTTTGAAAACAACCAAGATAGAAATTGCTGGCAAGAATATTAATGATGCCAATAGGGAGATGGGTCTTTATTCACTGCAAGCATGTCACATGCAAGCCTAAGGACCAGCGTTTGAATCCCCAGCATCAAGTGAATGCTAGTTAGGCATGGAAGCCCAGTCCTAGGCGACAGAGACAGGTGGAGCAAGCTGCCCAGCTAGACTAACCAAATTGGTGAACTTGGCTCAAGTGAGAGACTGCTTCAATACATAATGTGGACAGTGATCAAGGAAAGACCCCGAGTAATCTCTGGCTCCACATACAAAGTGCCTCTGAAATAAAGGAAAGAGCAAAATAGAACAGGCAAATGGAAATAAGGAGAGCAGGACTTATGTAATGAAATCAAACAAAGAACAACTCCAACCCCAAGATGATGAATTAAACATAGTAACAGATACATTTAACAAAAAAATACAACTTATAACTATGCAGCAAACAACAAAAATATATGGAGAGAAAATGATAAAGCAAATGTGGTAAAATGTTAAGATCTGGAGAACCTAAGTTTGAAGTTTATAGGGATTCTTTGTACTATTTTTATAACTTAAATTTTTATTTATTTGTATATGCAGGTGAGTATGCACATAGTAATAAAAATAAACAAAAAAAAATTTTTTATGCATGTGGAGGTCAGGGGACAACTTGCAGGAGTAGGTTCTCCCCTTCTACTCAGGGACTGAACTCAGGATGTCAGACGTGGAGGCAGGCACCTTCATCTGCTGAGCCATCTTGCCAGTCCTATTTTTTAACTTTCTAAAACAAATTTTTAAGGAGTTGACAAGATGGCTCAGTGGTTAAGAGCACTGGGTACTCTTGCAGAGGACCCAGATTCAGTTCCCAGCTCCCACATGGTCAGCTGGTTAGCCAACAACTATCTGTAAACTCCAATTCCAGGGATCTTGTGCCCTCTTCTGGCCTCTACAGGTACTGCATACATGTGGTACACTTACATACATGCAAGCAAAATGCTCATACAGATAAATTTTAATTTTTAGTAAGTTTTAAAAAATGCAGTTAAAAACACTGGTTGTTCTTGCAGAAGACCCAGGTTCGAATCCCAGCACCCACATGGCAGCTAACAACTGTTTGTAACTCCAGTCCCAGGGGATCCAACAGCCTCTTCTGACCTCCGTGGGCATTACACAACACGAGTGCACTTACCTACATGCAGGCAATACACACATACACATAAAAAATAAAAATAAACAAAAAATTTAAAAAAAAAAATAAATAAAATCAAATTTAAAAAATGAAATAGACAAAGCATAAGGAAATAAAACATACTTTTCATTCACATTAAATTTTTCAGCAAGAAAAATAGATTTCCATTTTACTAAAACATCATTTCAAAATCTAGAATTCTAGGAAGTTCCTCAGATTAAATTATGATACTTTTAAAGTTGAGAGGCCATATTTTATTAAAGCAATTTTGTTAGTATGCTTCATTTTAGACAGTTAAGAGCCCTTTAAAAAGGCATCTGATATCAGAAATATTGCTCTTTAAATATCAATTAGTGTCTTCAACTGTATTAAATTTCTCCTAAGTTAGCCAGGCATGGTGGTACACACCTTTAGTCCCAGTACTAGGGAGGCAGAGGCAGACAGATTTCTGTGAGTTCAAGGCCAGCCTGATCTACATAGCGAGTTCCACACCAGCTGGGGCTACAAGGAGACCTTGTCTCAAAAAGATCCCCCGCGCAAAAAATTTCTCCTACATTGACATTTTCAAATTTTTCTTCACAAACACATTCAGGCCTAAAATTATAAAAATATTCTAATTTCTAATAAAAATTTTTTATTGATTAAAGAGATTAAAATTAAAGTACCATTTCATGGCAAACCAAAACCCAGTTCTAAGACTTTATATTGTCTAACATTTCATAGTCTTGGTATTTAACAAGTCAAACACATGGTTTCATTAACCTTCTGATAACCATACTAACATAGCAGCCAAATACAGATACCCCTAATGCTTATTTTAGTAAAAAGAGCTGACTTAACAAAGCTTGAAAAGGAAGAGAGGACAAAAATAAATCAACAGATAAAAAGCTTGACAGAGAACCTTGAAATATGAGCTCTCCACGAGTCAATGAACTGCACTATCTCTCTATCTGTCTATATCTATCTACCTAGCTACCTACCTAGCTACCTACCTACCTACTTATCATTATACCTCTATTTCTGAAAGAGCTGCAGGACCAAATTAAAAGGAGCATGCAATGAATGAATATTATTAGAGAAACAAGCAGCCACCACAATGTTCTAAATATATATATACTTTATTTGAATTAAAGGAAAAATAAACCACTTTCAGAAGCGGCTTGGATTCCCTTCAAAGAAGACTTTATGGCTTTTAGTGATAAGGAGACCAGGAAGACCGTTGCAGTGGCAGATCAAACAGATCACTTCAGCCCCTCTCCAACTTCTAGTCTCTGAATAAAATGGTTTGAAAATATGCACTCACACACATGCACATGCACACACATGCATGCACAAAGGGCCTCATGAGCCAGCAAAATGGCTCAGAGGTTAAAGGTGCTTGCTCAAGTTGTCCTCTGACCACAGGAATGGAACACACACAACCAAAATAAATAAATAAATGTAAAAATAAAATAAAGGCCTTTGTCCTTCTGCTACAGTCACAGCACCAGCTAGAGCAGCTTTGGGATCCATCACAAACTAGGGGTTAGGAGTGGGGTTTTTCCCACGCAGCCCCTAGTAAGATCTGTCATTTCTGCTCAATGCAAGACTCTATGAAAGACCACTGGGTTGGCTGTCAGATCTGCAATGTAACCAGAGACTCTCTTTGCCCATCTGCTTCCTCTATTGACAGACCTCCAGTGTAGTCTAGAGACTTTCTCTGTCCAATCCTGTTCATCCTTCTTTACCTCTAAAACATTAATCCACAATAAATCGAATTTATTTCTAACTTAGTCTTAGTTCTTCTCTGATGATTTGCAAAGATAATGACTAGAATTTCTCTTATAAACATCATAGCAGCCTCCCTAATTTACTGATGCAGCATTCCCATATACACCTACTTAACCACAGCCTTGAGCCAGAAGTAAATTATTTTACAAGTTAAATCTATTGTCTCTCTGAACTTACTCTAAATTTTAAAAGTTCAAATATGAAGTATATTTTAATTTTCCAATGTTATTTTACGATTTGTTTTTAGACAGTCTCTCTAAAGCCCAAGCTAACCTCTAACTCCTGGCAATCCTCCTGTCTAAGCCACTTGCATGCTGGGTCTGCACGTATGAGCCAGCATGCCAGGCTCTCAACATTACTTTTAACTGTAATTTCCCATGTTTTTGTATAACTTATTTTCAACTTCAGTAACTATGAATGTGTAAAGAATACACGCCACTCCCTTGTTAAAAATCAAGTTAAATGGCTCTAAGTTTCTAACTTTTGATCAGATTCATGAAACTCTCACCAAAAGATACTTTTGCCATGACGTTGATGAAGGTTCTCTTGAGTAAAATCAGGATGAAGTAATAAAAGAACACTGCACCATGTTCCCACACTGCAGACCATCGACTGTGGCTAGTCACCTGGTTGCTCTGCTAGAAAATCAGCTTACGTACTTTCTAAAACTTCATATAATGCATTTTCTTTCAAACAAATTATAAGGAAATGTAGTTCAGTTGGTAGAGTTCCTGATTACTATGCATGAAGCCCTGGGTTCCATCCCCAGCACTACATAAATTATGTGTGGTGGCACATATCTGTAATCCCAACATTCAGGAGGTTGAAGCAGGAGGATCAGTAATTCAAAGTCATCCTTGGCTATATAGTGAGTCTGAGGTCAGTTTGAGCTACATAAGACCCCAAACACACAGAGACACACACACAGACACACACACACACACGCATGCAGGCACACACACATGCATGCACGCACACGCACACAACATTTGTCAATATTTTTTTCTTCAAAGTTTTATGCTTTGGAGACTGTTCTATGAAACAAAAACCCTTTTTAGCACACAGAAAATATCTGAATTTTAAGCATTTAGAGCCTAAATGCAGAAGCAGCAGTTAGTGCAATGGAAGACAGTGGGCAATGTTTGATAGATATGGAGCACCATCTTCACTACTCAGCTGCTTTTAACTTTGAGCAACAACCTTAGCCCCAGTTTCTGTTACTTCTGTTGTAAATGTCCTGTGGCTGTGTCTATAACACAGGAAAAAAAACAAATGGACTGTGAAATAGTTTATTCTTAATATCTTCCAAATAACAGGATGAACATCAACTTTTTTTTAAAAATGCAAACATTTTCATAAGGGCAATGAAAATGGTTCATAAGAGAAATTGGTTGTCAGTACCAATGTTTATCAATAAACATAATTTGGGCAAAAGTATTAAGAGTAAAAACTTATAAATAATATTTGAGAATTAATTAAGAAAATGTGACTTCAGTGAATTTCAGGTCAATCAGTTTGCACAGGTCCAGCTTCCTACTGCATTAGGGACCACCACCTTTTGTACTTACTTCTGTATAACGTTCTGCAAGCTTAGCATCATACCCAGCTCTCCTTTCATCTTTTCTCTGTTTGCACGACATTCTGCCAAATATCGGAGAGCCTACAACAGAAACAAGGGGTTAATCACATGTCCAGACTGTTCAAAATGGAAACCACTTCTAACTTACTGTAAAAGAAAAAAACGAGAGTTTTATTTTCAGCATCAATGGATTCCGAAGTTCGTCTTTAAATGTGGCATTCAAAATCCTCTTCTAGAGGCTGCCATAGCTGAGTGTGTTCTTTGAATGAAGATTCCTATCTTACCTGCAAAGTCAAAATTAGCTTGTTCTGGTTTTATTTTAATCATCTGAACCACCGAAAAAGACCCTGACTTGAAACATCAAAGTAAAATAAACTGAAAGACAAAAGATGAATTAATGGTAACATTTTTCCATTTATGAGGTAAACTCATTTCTCAGGTGTTTTTTTCTCTTAACATAAGTACATTTTTGCAAATATTTTCTTTAAATGGTGCTTCTTTGGGGATGTTTAGCTGTCCTTTATATACTTAAATACTACTATCATCTACAGACTTCATCACTTACATTCACAATGATCTCAGCACTCACCTTTCACATTTCCATTGGTTTTTTTACCTTTCAACTGCAAAGTGTCAGGTATTTAGTAAAGCTGTACCATCTAGAAAATCGCAAGCTCAAAAACCTGTTTTCCCATCTGCAGTTACTACTTCTGTTGCACAACTGCAAAGGTTTACCTGAGGTACAACTGCCCTTTCTCAGTAAGAAAACTAGTAAACAAGATATCACTTATTAAATGTATTTCAGAGACTGGTCAAGAAGCAGCACAGCCTGTAATCAATGAGAGAAGCAGCATGAGGTGGATCTATAACTACCCCTTTCCTACACTGAAGACAATTTTTAAACAGCAGCACTGGAGACATGCAAATGGAGCCTAGTGGTCTTGGTGAGTTTGTGAAGCAGACATCAAATTGAAGAGGTTGAAGCAGTCAGAATCTGCAGAGCAGACCCATACAGTAAGGACACAGAACAGCAAGAATTCCAGACATCTATTTATAGAGGGTGACTGAGAATCTTTGGTTAAGTATCAATCTGCACATGGCTAGGGTAAAAGGCTACATGTTAGGGAATAAAACCACCAGAAAGTCAAACAATCCTTGGCACTCACAATGTGCTGAGAATAGTCTGAGATGACACCAACCAGAGGCACAAAGAGTGAATGCTCAAAAGATCTTTACCTGGACAACAGAGGTATCACAGAATAAAGGCTGCTTTGTGTTTACCCCCAATAAAGCCCAAAGCAGTCTTGAAAAGTCAAACTAGTAACAAGTTACTTAGCAACCCAGAAAAAATGTTCGAGTATTTATAGAAATATTTTTTTAAAAATTTAAGAATCCAACCAGGTGTGGTGGCACACGCCTTTAATCCCAGTACTTGGGAGGCAGAGGCAGGTGGATCTTTGAGAGTTCAAGGCCAGCTTGGTCTATAGGGAATACCAGGACAGCTGGGGCTACAGGGAGACCCTGTCTCAAAAAGACAAAAATTAAAAAAAACTCAAAAATCCAAAGTAATAGATTTTAATATTTCAATTTAAATAGAAAAATCAACAGACATGAAAAGATGTAGGAAAATATAATCTATATCCAGGATAGGGAGGAGCAAAAGTAATCAATACACACAAACCACGAAATAATTTGAGAAGCCAGATGTGGTAGCATACACTTTATTCCCAGTAGGCAAACTCAAGAGTGTTTGAAGCCAGCCTGGTCTAAACAGTGAGTTCCAGGTCAGCCAGGGCTATATAGTGAGACCCCATCTTAAAGCCCCACCTCCTCAAAAGAAAGATATAATAGAGATTATAAATTATAAGAATATCAAAAAAGCTATTCTAATATGCTCTATGTTTGAGTATGAAAAATGAAGATGAGGAAAGAAAGGGCAAATACTAGGAAGACTCAAGTAGCCTTTTTTTTTTTTGTCTTTTTGAGACATGGTCTCCCTGTAGCCCCAGCTGTCCTGGAACTCACTATGTAGACCAGGCCGGCCTTGAACTCACAGAGATCTGCCTGCCTCTGCCTCACGAGTGCTGGGATTAATAAGTAACTTTTAAAAGACAAAACACATTTGAAATGAAAGAAGTTTAGACATGCAGCAACAGAAACTAGCCAAAATAAAGCAGAGAGAGGAAGAAAAACCATCTAAATAACAGAAGCACAAAGTATGGGTGCAGGAGCACTGGCAAGGAGGGCAGCACATGCTGGGATCTAGGGAGAAAAGATTTTTCAGAAAGAAAACCTTTGAAAAACTAATGGATGGCAATTTCCTAAATCTCATGGAAACTATAAACCCACAGATCCAAGAAATTCAACAAATCCCCAGCAAAACAGCAATAAAAACAAAGCACACAAAGAAATCTTCATTAAACACATCATAATCATTTCCTGAGAAGAACATTAATATAGCCACAGATGAAACCACAGAAAGCATTACAGGGCTGGCAAGGTAAAAGAGTTTGCCATGGAAACCTGATGACTTGAGTTCAAATGCCAGATCCCATAGTAAGAAGAGAGAACCAACTCCCGAAAATTGTCCTGACCACACACAAGCCATGGTACACACACACACACACACACACACACACAGACAGACAGACAGACACACACACACACACACAACAAATAAAATATTTTTCTAAAAAACAAGCAAAAGAAAAGGCATTATACAGAGAACAACAAAGAAATATAGCCGGGCCAGTGCTTGCTACCAAGATTGAGTCTGATTCCCAGGATCCATTTGAAGGAAGGAGAAAACTGACTCCTGCAAGTTGGCCTCTGACTTCCAAATGCATCCACATACATGTTTATCTCCATATAAAATACAGACACACACAAATTAAAAAATGGGCTTTTGGGTTTTTTTTTTCAATATTTTATTACTTTTATTTTATGTATGTGTGTGTTGCCTGCATGTATGTGAATGCACCCATGTCGTGCAATGCCGCGGAGGTCAGAAGAGGGCTTCGGATTCCCCTGGAACTGGCGTTAAGGATGGTTTGTAGCCGGCTAAAAAACGTTTTTTTAAAAAAGGAAGCATAATGATTTTCTTGTTAGAAATCATATACACCAGGAGCTAGATATATATTCATGTCTATAACCCCAGCACTCCAGAGGTAGAGGAAGGCAGACTGCCAGTTTCAGGTCAGCCTCATCTAAGTACTTAGCAAGTTCTAAGCCAGTCTGAACTACAAGAGTAAGACCGTGTCTCAAAAAAACAACAACAACAAAAAATCCAACCCAAGAGAAATCACATATATAGCAGAAGACAATTACAGTAATAATCTGTATTACAAGGAATATAAATCTAAGTCTATATTTAGGAATGAAGAACACTATAAACAGTAGAAATGAGAATATAAGACATTTGATGGAGCTAGAGAGATGGCTCAGCAGTTAAGAGCACTGGCTGTTCTTGCAGAGGACCCAGGTTCGATTCCCAGCACCCACACGGTAGCTAAAAACTGTCTGTGCTTTCAGTTCTGGGAAATCCAACACCCTCTTCTGACCTCCTCAGGCATTTACGACACAGGTACACTTATATACATGCAGGCAATACACTCATACATAGAAAATAAAAAAAATATTTTTAAAAAGACACTTGAAGCTGAGTGAGGTGAGGAAGGAGGACTAAGAGCTGGAAGCCAGCCTAGTCTACACAACAATAGCCTGACTCTACTTCCCATTCAAAGTCCCCCAAAATTTCAAAAACATTTGAAACAGAGTATGGTGACATACACTTATAATCCCAGCAACTGGGAGGCAGAAACAGTCAAGTGTCTGTGAATTCAAGGGCAGTCTGGTCTACATAGTGAGTTCCCACAGCCAGGGCTACATAGTGAGATCCTGTCTCAAAAACAAAAACAAACCCACCATATTTGGGGGAAAAAACGTCTTTAAAAGCTAATTGAGGGCTGGAGAGATGGCTCAGTGGTTAAGAGCACCAGCTGCTTTTGAAGAGGACCCAAGTTCAATTCCCAGCACCAACATGGTGGCTAACAACCATCCATAACTCCAGTTCCAGGGGATCCAATACCCTCTTTTGACCTCCACGGGCATTAGATGACATGGGTGCATTTACATACATGCCAGCAATACACTCATACACATAAAATAATAATAAAGCTAATTGAGTGCTAGGGAGTTAGAACAGTTCTTACTTAGCATGTATGAAGCTCTAGGGTCATTCCTGAGTCAAATACACAAACACACACACACACACACACACACACACACACACACACACAAAACACTACTTGTTTAAAGCAATACATATGTGTGTATGTACACATTCTAAGCACTGAGAAATACATAGACGTATATGATACAAACAGCACAAGGATGGAAGAAAGGAATGAAAACATACTGCTGTATGATTCTACACTGTACACTGCATATGATTAAATTAAAAGTGGACTAGTAAGCTAAAAATGCATATTCTAGGGGCTGGAGAGATGGCTCGGTTCCTAGCACCCACGTGGCAGCTAACAGTCCATTAGAGTTCCAGGGGATCTGATAGCCTCTTCTGGCCTCCATGGGCATTACATGCATAAGGTGCGCTTACATACATACAGGTAAAACACTGATACACATAAAAATAATAAAAACTATATTTAAAATAATACATATTATAGAACTGTAACCATTAAACTAAAGTTTTCAGGTTATACCATTAAGCTACTTAAGATGATAAAAGGAAACTATTAAAATGCAAGCCTGCTCATTACCCTCACTGGGAACTTCTTTCTGCCCATTGGTCTCTCTACTTTTTCGTTAGTTCCAGCCCTCTATTTAAGTTCCCTTATAGTTTTATATGTGCTATGTATAGCAGCATGTTTTCATTCCTTTCTTCCATCCTTGTGCTGTTCTTTTCATATACTTTACTTCTATGGATTTTTCAATGCTTAGAATATGTGTATACATACACATGTATTGCGTTAAATATATTCTCTTGCCAAGATCCTATCCTAACTTCCTTACAGTCATTCTGTCCAACTTACCTGGCCAAGTATCAATCCTGGACAAATCCA